GAATCTTTTTAAATCCTGATTTCTGGGCCTCAACCTCCAGAAATTCTGTTTCTTTGTTACTAATGATGAGGCCCAGAAATCAGGATTTTAAAAAGATTCCCAGGTGATTCTAGTGTGCAGCCAAGGTTGAGAACCACTGCCTTAGAGTATGACCCCTCTTCCATATAATAGCAATTTATGTAGCTGAATACCTTTTGGAGCATACTCCCTCTCCCCCCAAAACTGAACCATTCTAAGCTTTCTTACTCATTCCTGGTAGTTTCATATTCCACCTAGTATCTCATGTCTCTCACTGCTCTCGTAAGAAGGTAGGCAGATTGGGCACCAAGGCAAGACACTGTTTATATCTGTTTTTTCATTATAATAAAGTGTGCAATTAAGTGTAAACTTTGGGGTCAAATTCTAACAGAATTCTCTCCTTTCTGCTCAGAGAATTTAGTGGTCATATGGTTCAAAATGAGTTAGTTACCCAAATCTGCTGCTGCTATCGAGCCTTCTGGTTCCATTGTTTTGAGTGGGGATTACATGCTTTTGTTTCTGGTTGTTGTTTTTTTTTAAAATTAGAATCAGAAGGAACCAATAAGTAACTCATGGTAATAAAGAAATGGAGTTTGAAAGGCAGTGGTTATTAACAGAGCAATAGAAAGACTGGAAAGAGAAAACATTAAGCTAAGGAAACAGCACCAAGTGCAGGTATAAAACAACAATGCCTCATGCAAATGTAAGGAGCTGCGTATGGATAATTCAGGGGACATTACTCTGAAAACAATTGTGATTACTGGAGCTTTGGGTTGTGGGGCAGGGAGAAATACCTGGAAAATGAAAAGTCACCTATCTTCCTTATTGTATCTTTAGCACCCAGCACAGCACATATGTAAGAAGTACCACACTGGCCACACTACCCAATGTTTTCAGACAAACTATTTCCGTGACACAGCCACTTTCATGCCTCAGAAGCCCCTCTAATGGCAGGTCTATGGCAGAATTTGTGGGGAAAGTGACCTGACTGAAAAGAATGTATAGGGCATGGGTTGGCTACAGTTCATCTGGCTGCAGAGAGGTGGGAAAACAGAGAGGTGGGTCCCAGTAGAACAGATCTGAGACCACCCTTGAGGTGTCTTTTACATTATTGTCTGCCAGCTCCTGCCCAACTTCTGGTCTCCACCTTGTGGACTGGAGGCAGCCTAGGAGTTAGCCAGTGGCAGTTCTGTGGTCCTAACAGGGAAGTGTCTTGGAGTCAGTACGTGGTGTGTGTGTGTGTGGGGGGGGGGGGGGCGTTAAGGGGCGGCAGCACGTCCGCTCTCCCTTGGGGGGGTCTCGCCAGGATCTGCCCTCGCTTCCCCAAGCAACTTTGCAAAGATGCAGAGGTCGAAGCACGTTGCTGTGCGGGGCTGAATGCTCCGA